AAAGAATCATAAAAGCTAAAAGCATGGAGATTATCAAACATCACTATATCATCCTTATCATCGAAGTAAATTAGAAATAAAATCTAAAAGTTAAGTAATTGCAGACTCTGCTTTTAACTTGTCAAGTATTGATCAGCACAGTGAAAAGCAGTATATCTTGTCATTGTGGCTTGACTATGAGCAATGACTTAATTGTTTACGTTAAACGTGAATAATTACTCGTGACAGGGAAAGTTGAAAAGTTTACACCAATGTCATGTACTTTGACGTTCCGTGACTGTATTCATTAAATTTTTTAACACGAAATTCAAAAGATTCTTAACATTGAAATATATAAAGATTCTTAATGTATCAATATGATTAGTATATTGTTATTATGATTTCTGAGAATTGAATGTACAATCTGAAATTAGGAGCTATTCTTTCTTTTTCCAAGGCAGTCTTCTTTTTTATGAGTTTTTCTCTTTCTCATTTTTTTTTCCGAAAATCAGACAAAAGTCACGAACGGTTACAACTTTTTTTCTCTGGGTGGTAGCGTTCTGGGATATTTTTATTAAATGGAACATTTGCTACTCATTGTTTAAATAGATAGTCTCATGAAAAATCGAACCATTAGAATGCATTTTATGTAGGAAAAATGTACCTTTGATTTTAAAATGCACCTTTCATCACATTGTGATCAGTACCCCCAATATTATTCAGTTCTCAACCAAAATATACCATACAAAAATATATGCAATGTGAAGAAAAAACCAACATAGTTACAAATACAAAGCCTTCTTTGAACATTCTTTACCTTTACGTTCCTTAATGATTGAATTAAGGTTTTATCACCGACTTGATACAAGTTGAAATAAAATAGCTAATCCGACCGATAATTTGTTTATACGAATACTGTTTCATAGCAAAAGGACATGTACAGAACTGTAACAGTACTACTAATCAACAGGATTGTTCGCATATCAGAAAATTATTGAACATAAGCCACTGACGATAAATATCCAATCAAACTGAATGTTGGATTAGCTATTTTTCATTTTTCCTACATAAAATGCATTCTAATGGTTCGATTTTTCATGAAACTATCTATTTAAACATCAGTAAGCTAAGTTTTCTAATTAAAGAAAGAAAAGCACTGTTGCATATGCACATGAGATATGACATCGATCTCTTGAATTGGCTCATGCGTATATGATAGTACGGATCACTAAAGAATATTTTCTACATCTAGTTCAAATCCATAGGGAACAAATGACACATGAAATTGTAGATCTGAAGAAAGACTATCTTTGAATATATTAGACTCGCTGTGTCCTCATTTCTACTATATTAAAAAAATTGAAAAAACTGATCTCTAGCCATCACTGAGGGAAAAGATCGATCGAAAAAGGCCCTGGAAATAGACTACAATCAATGTATCTGGTAGCAGTTACATCATTTTATAAACAATTTTTAATTTTATAATTGATCAATCACTGTGATTTCAACCGCAGAGTCTTGATAGAAAAACAGTTCTAGTCAAATTACCATAAGCGATAAGAAATTAGACGCATTTCTCTCCAAGTATGAATATTATTTTTGATGTTTTAGCGGAAAAATGCCCAAACGAGAAGTTAAACAATCATTTTCTACAGAATCAGACGGTTGGATACAATAAAATATCATTGACCCTCTTGCTCTTCTTGTCTCATTCCAAGTTATCTGTTGAACCTCATTCAAATATTTTTGTCTAATTTATTTTTTATTTTTAGGAAAAAATAATTTCTATTGCTTAACATTGTATACTATGGGTTATCGTTGCGAACGGAAAAACAAAGAAAATGCGCAAAACATAAACGTGTACAAAAAACTAAAATTAAAGCAAAAACAACATCATATATAAAGAGAGAGAAATTTTATGTCTTTTGCATATATTATCAATCAAATATTAAAAATGTTCGATAGTGATGTATAATTACCATACTCACACAAAAGACGCACAGAAATAATGGTGTAAGTGTGCACTATTAATTGCAACATTGAAAGGATGAAACGTGAAATGAATGGTAAAATCCTGCATTTTTAATTACAAAAATATGGGATTCTGAGTATTTATCTATACTAAAACGTTTATAAACAGAATAAAACGTCAACGACAATTTGCTGTAGTAGTTTTAAGAATTAACAACTTTTAACTTATTGTCAAAATATAAACACATCTTGGACTAGTCTAATACATTCGTTAATTATCTACATGGAATAAAATTAAAATACAAAGACGACTTAAACTTTGAAAATAATTTAAAGCGATAGCAAAGATCTAAGAGTAAAATAAGTGAAGCAAACATATAAAAATAATAATAATTTAACTAATTAAATTTGACAAATATGTTGGTATATTTTATTAGTGTACAATTATATAGACTAAACTGATGTTCTACTTAAAAAAAGCATGTTTTTTATAAAAAAAAATAATTTAGATTTAATTAGTTAAAAACTAAACAGTTTGTTTGGAATGGAAACTGAAGGTTTTTGAGAAATTCGTAACTATCAGCAAATAGAGACTTGCTTTAGTGATTAGATTACAAGAGTCTATAGATACATGAATATTAGGAATTAGGGATACTCTCTCTCTCTCTCTCTCAATAATTCTCATAATATTCGGATTCTATTATTTATTTTTTGGGTTAAATTTGCTGATCTTTTTTTTTTTGACACATCTGACATTATATACACAGAAAAATGAAAGGACAAAAATGGTGAGCACATATTCACAATAGAAACACATATTACAATCCAAAAGACATTGATTGAACTACTGCTAAATAAAAAAAAAAACATTAATGAATTGATTAAGGGTTTATAATAATTTGCATAATGGTAAAAACAGGCAAATCAATAGAAAACTGTTATTTATGTACTTAAGTACGTGAGCAGAGTGAACACAATAAAAAAAAGAAAAAGAAAAAAAATATATTAAGAAAATCACACCGTTTATTTTGTGCTTGTGTTCATTGACAAAAAATGCGTTTGTTTACAATCAATTGATATAAATATTAGATCAAGAATGTAACAATTCATAATTTAACCTAAACATTAGTAAAACGACTTTAGATATAAAATTTAATCAGATTATTTTTATAAAGGATGGTCCAAAAGTTTCAATCTCTCGCTGTAAATTGACATTATCTTTATGAAATATACATATACTTAGCTGATTATAACATATCATTGTGTAGACAAATGTTAGAGCTATCACCCAAGCAGACAAACATTTGGAAAAACGCGTTTAAACGCTCAAAAGGGAACCGCGATTGTGAGCCAGTAACGCTCATTAAAAAAACGCAAGAAACGCGTTTTTTGCGCAAAATTTTCACTTTCAGACCGTGAAAACGGCGAAAACTCCCGTTGTTGAGCGTTAAAACGCGTTTTTTGCGCAAAATTTTCACTTTCAGACCGTGAAAACGGCGAAAACTCCCATTGTTGAGCGTTAAAACGCGCTTTTATTCCAGAATTTAAAAACAATGAGTTTTAACGCTCAAAAACTGGAGTTTTCGCCGTTTTCACGGTCTGAAAGTGAAAATTTTGAGTAAAAAACAATAACATGTCAAATTTTGGGCCTTACAATAACATGTCAATTTTTTTTCATGTTTTTTCAAAATGACTAAAATGACCATAACTTTGCACTACGTATACGCAATTCAAACCTTTTTTGTTCGGTGATAGCTCTAACATTTGTCTACACAATGATATGTTATAATCAGCTAAGTATATGTATATTTCATATAGACAACGTTAATTTACAGCGAGAGGGACCACCTTTTACTTTTTTGAACTCAAATACTTAGAAAGAGACGTTTAAACAGTTCTTTATCCAAATGTATGTTAACAAATATAAGATTATTAAGCTATATATTTTAAACTCTACTTATTTACATATTAAAAATATTTAGCAATACTTACGCTATCTTTTGAAACCAAAGAATCCGGCAACCATGCTGATCAAAATAATGAGAGCAACAACAACACAAATGATGATAATGATTTTTTTCTAAAATGAAAAAATAAAATATCACTCGATTATTCAACAGTTAACTATCGATATCCATGAAAAACGAAATCAGTTAAAGAAAATGATAGATAACGGATAGGCGCTAAAGAATGGACCAGTTTTCTTTTCTTTTTTGAGAGGCTAAATTCAAATTATAGATGAAAACTTTTAAATATATATATAATTGCCTCATTTTCAGATCATACACTGTCGGTATGAAGATTTTACAAAAACATTTTCTCATTAATAAGTTAATAGATGACGACAATTTTTTAACATAACGTAGATGTAGTATGAAGCTTGGTATATCATGTTAAAGAAATTGATCAGATCTAGTATTTTCCAGAATGCAGTCTCTTCTTTGTGTCACAGTTTTACTTTTCACCTTCTGATGGTATTAAACGCTGTTTTATCAGACACAAGATCCATATATTGATATTGCATGTACAGAAGTTTGTAGAGTAGAAAATTTTCTATCAAATGAGTTTAGAATAAACTTTAGTTTTGTCTCACAAAAAAAGAAAAGAAAAGTGATTCATTCTTTAAAATGGGCTACCCGTTACACCGTATGATATTTTTTTATGCATTTTTCTAACTCATTCAAAAATTTATGTAAATTTTTCGTTTAAAAAACAAATAAACTTACATGCCATGAAACATCGAATAGACCAACATTGATAATCATACAACATCAAATACCAGTATTGTGCATAATAAATTATAGATAAATATATATTGCAAACAAGACAATAACAACAAGAATTAAGTGCATACAAAACAATATAAACTCGTATCTTCAGTTGTAGAATCTATTTATTCATATTTCTGTATTTCATTTGTGAATAGAGGCTCTCATTTCTCACAAATCAAATACAGTAGAAATTTAAATGAACTCAACTTTTGCATGTAGCAAAAAGCGACTGCTAGCAGGATTTTTTTTTCTACTATACACACAGGTATTTGTTTCCATCTATCGAACAGCATTCTTTACAATAACAGCAACAATTGCTAATAATATTAATGATACAGTGATTGCAACACATAACAGACAACATTTTTTCTAAATAAGTTTTGAAAAAATAAACAGTTTTTGATAAATTTGTGTCAACTACAAACTCTAAATATATCGTTAAAAATGTTCTGAATTCAATAAACTAAAATACTATCAACAAAAACAATCGATCAATGAATGTCTCTTATACATTTAGCTACTAATAATTATAAAAGTTGCTGGTAAGCGAAAATTTTGATGTGCATTTCTTGTCAAAATCTTCATCTTCAAGAAATTGACACTTTATTTTATTGTACTTCTTGATTCAAAAAACGATATGAAGATCAAAATCTTGATTTCAGACATTGTCTCACTTTGTTCTTGTTCTTTGGAACTCCTTGTCTAACGGTGTAAATTCAATTGAGGAGCGTGTCTCGTGTAATTGATTTTGTTCTTATTTCATGGATTAATTGTGGCGATGTCATGGTATATTTGAACTTATGATTTATTTATTAATCGTCTATTTTTTTATTGATTCTATGATTTCTGAGAAAGTTTGCTTGTTTTTTTGATCTTGTGGAAAACCTTTGTTTACTCTTATGATGGATAATACTTTTATCTCTACATTTATATTCTTCGACTCTAAAGAAAAGTGTTTATTTCACTTTGAGTAAATAAACAGTAAACATATAAGACTTAAGTTTCATTAATCTTTTACTGCAGACAAAATCGAACTTTTAGTTATTATGACCTTTTTCTTAGTTGATATAAGCTTTATTCTTTTAGAATACAAGCGGAAAAATATTCCAATTATAGTATTCTAAACTAAAACTATCAAAAAAAACCATAAAATCAATTTTGTACGAATAGAGATTCAAACATATAAACTTAGATTTGTTAAAAACCATCGAACTGAAGAGCTATTTATTTTTAATATGATCTTTCTAAAAATTTTGTGCTTCTTTCTTTGACTTTTTAAGTATCTCATTTTACTATCTTTTCGCCGACACTATGAGGTAATGATGATTGGTTATACATTTTGAGATAAAATTGTTTTATTTGTTAAACCGCAAAATTATCGAAACTTAAGATAAATGAATAATTTATGGTAATCTTGCTTTTAGCATGCAATAGAAGAAGAAGAAAAAAAATACATATTAGAAAGAAGTAAAAGATTAATTGAGATTATTTGTTTTTGAATGCCGCTTGGGAATAAAGAAATGTAGTTCGAAGAACGCCGGAAAAAAAACGTTTGACTTTTAATATCTTAATCTGATTACATAATAAACTAGTTGATCAAAATCATGAATATGAATTTTTGTTGAAGTTCTTGTGATTTAACGATAACAAAGTAGATTAGAATTGTTTAATATCAATGGTATTATACAATCAGAAAAAATTGACGTGTATACATTTTTTGATTCATGTTACCAATGATAGTGATGATAATTTAGTACTAGTTCAAAATTATTCTTTGATTAATTACGACAGGAAAAACGACTAAATGATCCACTTAAAGGTACACAAAAACGTTTTCTATGTGGATCATCTGTTTTCATATTTTTTGAAATTTGTTTTTGTTTTTTCAAAAACAAATTAATGGCATACAAAAGAATAATAAAAAAGAATAGAGAGACTGTACACATTATTTCAGTATAACACTAATCACAATAACGAAGACAATGACGATGACTGGGTTGCATGCTACCACAAATATTGCTTTGGAAAGAGAAAAAAACATCAGACAAATGTTTCATTAATCGTATAATTATATGAATTAAAAATAAATGAAAAAAAAATGTATGGCTGCAAAACAACAGTATAGGGTTCAGATGTCATTCTTTGTGGAGAAATTATTAATATATAAATAAAATATCTATATGGTTCTTCTTTTTTTTTNTTTTTTTTTTGACGAATCACATTTTGAAATAACAATAATGGTAATGACAAAGCGCAAAACAATAAATAGTTAAAATAACATAAAATCGAATGTACATAATGAAAATGAAAGAAAACAACAGAAAATATTCAATGTTTCTTCAATAAATAATTATCGCGTCTAATGAGAGAGAAAAAAAAGAGAGAGAATGTTGAAAACTAAACCATTTCAAATTATTCATTAACGTGTAAAATTTTTACGCTAAAGAAATGAAGATCAATATATTTGCAATAACAAATCGATGAGAAAAATAACAACAAAACAATGACTTTTAATTTGGATCTAACTGTTAACTGTCAACATGAAAAAAAATAATAACTTATTATAATCATAACAAAATATTAGTTTTAAAAATAAAATAAAATAGAATAGTAACTCCGTTAATTAATATGAAATTTATTACTTTTTCTTTTTAAATTCAATTTCTGAAAATTGATGAAAAATAAAGTATTCATCGTTTTCTACCAAATACTACTGCCAGAATAATGATGAGGATCGTAATAACCACAACGACAATTATAATAATAATTATCATTTTCTGCAAAAGTAAAATAACAATAATAGGTCGACAGAATTCAAGAATAATGCTGGTCGTTAGTAAAAAATATGAACAAGAAAAAATTAGTAATGCACACTATTAACATTTTAGCCATTTTAAACAGTGAAAAAGAGCTCTCTCTCTCTCTCTCTCTCTCTCCCTCTAAACACGTTTTTAATAGTCGAACTATTATTTTTCAATTTTTTTTCTTTCTTTTAATTAAGATAATCAATGAAAACAAAGTAACATAGTCGCAAAAAGATTGAAATGACAAATTAAAATGAAATAAAGATAGTTAATCCCAAATTCTCAAGTTTTCCATGTATTAGTACTAGAATTTATTAATATACGCTATGGTATATGTTTGAATTAAATTTCTTACATGTGTTAATACTCTGGAGAAACGAAATATTAGCTTATTGTATGACCGTGGTTATATTACTTTGTTTTGATTAATTATAATAATTAAAAGAAAGAAGAAAGGACTGAAAAATGGTAATTCGACCATTCGCTATCGTTACAAACGTATTTAGATTCTGTTTAAGATTGCAGAATCTCATTGCAGATGAAGTTTCCACTAATGTCAATATCTGCTTCTCATAGACGCAAAGCAATCTAGTAGTATGGAAGACTATAAAACTACAGATTAAAATGAAACGGTATCTCAAGTATTGCGATCTGACATCGTCAAAAATTTTCTTCACATTCTAATGCGAATACCCATGGTTTTTGTTAAGTTAGCCATTTCTTTTTAAGATTATTTCTTGTTATTAAAGATACATGCATTTTTTAAACATCAGTTAGTTAAAAGTAGATTTTCCCGGAATCCGTCATTCAACATGTGCATAGATATAAAATTTTTTAAAAAAAAGAAATCGTAACAATTGCTCAAATTTGATAACATGATATAGCAAAATAATTATAAAAGAATATTGTATTGAATTTCATTGATAGCAGCAGCAATATTGTTGAAAACGTACATCATCGACGATAATTCCAGTATATCCAACAATTATATAAAATATTTTAATTCTCTCTCATACACACACAAATTAGAAGAAATTAGTAGAAAAGCGTAGTAGAAGTAGCAAATCAATGTGATATTAATGCAGCCATAACATTTTTATTCATTTATAAAGTATGTAATTTTCATGCTTTAAAAAAACCATTAATAGTATTTACTTATTTACGACATAAAGCTCACGTGCACAAAGAAACACCAAGCATTGAATAAAAGCCATTGAACTTACCCGTCTAGCAGCACTTTGATATTTCACTGCTTTCCTAGTATCAGTGCTAGCAATTTTAACAAAATTTTCTGATTGTATAACCTAAAATCATTTCAAAATAAAAATTAAGATAATAATATATCATGAATAATACGTACATTGTATTCAATACGATCGATCATTTCGCCCTAAATAAACCGAAGACAAAAAAAACCAACACTAGTTCAGAAAGATATTATAATAATTTCAGCGCTTACCTGAGTCTGAACAAGGTTAGCCATATCAATAAACATATCATGCAATTCTTTAATACTATTTTCTAATTTAATAATATCACGATGACGTGCTTCTATATCTGCTAAACTTTGTTTAGCTTGTTGTGTTTCAACCATAATCTAATTAACAATATGTCATGTCAAAAGTGTAAAATAAAACTCATAATAGAAAATGTCTTACGCCTGCAGTAAATATTGCAGGATTTTCACTTTGTAACATTTCTTCAACTTCACCTTCGCTGATTGAACGTCCAGCTGTAAAAAAAGTAAAAAAATCAATGATTAGAGGATAGTAATGGAACAAAGTACACATAAAAATATGTTACTCAAATATAATCCGTCATCATTTGTTTGTTTTACTTACTGATTTCTAACTGTCTCATTATTCTTTCTTTGCAGCGCTGTCGATAACTTAAAATGGTATTGTTATATTCATTCATTATTTCACGGAATCTTTGAGTCATGACACACAACTAAGATTTTTTCGATAAACAAAAGCAAACAACATATACAAAACTACATAAAAGAATAGAATAACTCGATCTACAACATTGTTTGCTGTTCGTTCGATTATGCCAATCGATCTAGGCAACAAAACAATATCATACATCGAGCAGAATAAAGCAAAAATACTAAACGTTGATAAAAGAAGAAAACATGGTTGAATTTGTTTTTGATGAGCATCTATCTCTATAAAACAACTTTTACTTAATAATTTTACTATAACCGAAGAGATATTAGAGTTTTGATTTATATATACTCGTTTGTGTTTTTGAATCTTCATTTTAAAAAATCTAACCGTTCAAATATGAGCCTTCAAACATGAACACTAAACACTGCTCATATACGCGTATAATATTCAAATATCTCTCTAAACGTATGACTTTCTTCTTCGAAGAGTTCATTTTTCAAATATTTTGAAATCAATAAAACCTTGCCCTCTGATATTTGTAAGCTCCAATGGGAGCCTGAACATCGTCGATCCGAGCCTGACGAAAAAAATCCTTAGAGAGCATGGAGTCAAAGAAACTCAATTTTATCTCAAACAATCTCATTCATGATGTTCTAGCTAATAGGAAAAGTTGCTCCTCATAAAACCTACACAACAGGAAGAAACTATAAGATACAACATATTCTGATGGTAATAAAAGCAACAAACAACTAATAATTAGCACAAAAATGCACGTATATACTTCGCTAACTCACTGATTTCTAGCTGACGTTGTATTCTCGCTTTGCAACGTTCACGGTATTCGATTTGTGCATTATTATACGCATTCATCACGTCAATAAATTTCCTTGATAATGTAGCGTGCTAAAAACATTTGAAATCGTTAGAAATCAGTTTACAGACTAAAACTGTTGAGCAGTAATTGTTTTAGCTGCAAACATCAACAACAATAATATTTAAAGCAAACAGTTCGTTTTGGGCGACGAAAACAGTTATACTAACACGAAAAAACCGCGAAAAGTAAATAAAATTAATTCTGTTTTCTTCTTCTTCTTCGTTTGATTTCTGATCTAATTATTACCTGTGATTTTTCAATTCTGAATTCCGCCTGTGATTTTGGTTTTCGTGACTGAACTTGTTGTTCTTGAGTTTGTTCCATTTCTGAACAGGAAAGTAGACGCAAGTGGACTTCTTCTGGTGAGCAAAAAGAGGTAGAAGTTCGCCCAAAACAAACGACTGATTACAACATTAGCTAAGGAATACACAAAAACAACAAGCATTCTCGAAATAGTCATCTTGTCGAGTTTACAGTAACTCACTGTAATGCTAGAATAGCCGTTTTTTTTTTACTCATATTCATTTAAGAAAGCAGCGTTTTACTTTTTGGAGCTTGTGCAAATGGTACTACAAATAAACTATGCACGAGAAAAGGACAACATCACCAACTACAACGGTCAATCTATTAAATGGAAAACCTGTGTTTTTCTAATGCGTATATCAGCTGATCGCCAGACATTTTCTTGTCCCTCTGATTCTATATCAGTCTCCATAGCTGAAAACAACAATCAATGCTACTGTGGTTTATAAAATCTCACGGAAACAAAATAGTAACGCACTTTTCAGCCTTTGTCGTACTTCATTGGCTATCTTTTTAATTTCAGCCATTTTTTCTTCGAGTTCTTCTTTAGTTCCTATAAAAGTTTAAAAAAATTAAATGATTTATCGATACTAAATTACACACATACGATCATCAGCTTGTGGAGCAGCTAATATTGTACTGTGTAAACGTTTTACTTCTTCAACAAGTTCTTGAATTTTATCGATGTTGGTACGTAAAGAATCAACCTAAAATATAAAATATAAAAACGCCTTTCTTGGGCTTTGTTTTCTTTTTCTAAAGCTTAACAGTCCAAGTGCCTCTTTTCCATTTTAATGTTAAAAAGCTTAATCTTTAATGAAACTTCATAATACGTTGAAGAGTAGTCCGAACCATTCAGATTTTCTATGTGATTTTCCATGAAATTTTCTAGAGGGAATGTGAATCTTTTTGTTTTAGTTAAGAAAAAGTTTAATTAATAGTTCGAAGATCGTCCCCACAACGCTCTATGGGTTACGATACTCAGGACCGAAATTATCCATGACAAACCTGAGTGAAAAAATCGGACATAAAACGACTGTTGTCTTCCATATTAATGGTTGCATAAGCGCCGTCTGGATCACTGTCTTCGGCATTCTGGGCCTAAAAGAAAAGTAGAAATTTATATTGATATGTAAAAAGAACGACTTTACTGAGAAAATTTCCTATTAACGATTGCGTTCCAACCTTTGTCCGAAACTGAATTTCAAGTACTGTCTAGACTATTTCCTAGTATAAAACTTCAAAATCAGTACATAAATTAAATCATTAAGAAAATTAACTTTTAAGAATCGAAAATCTCGAATTTACATCCTTTTGCACTGTAAATAGAATACCATATTTCCAATCACTGTAGAAAAAACTACATGGGGTATTACTTCACATACAATTGAAGAAGTTAGTAAGTTTTAGATTAATTCAAAAATACAAACTAGGCACATACTGCTTTGAGAGCGGGCAAGCGATCTTTGGTCATTCTTTTGTTCTAATTTTAAACGTAAATAACTATACCAAACATTTGGATCTTCAATTCGTTAGTTCCATGATTATTTTCTCTCTTTTTTATTAATATTTCTCTGAAAAATGTATTAACTAATTATAATAATCAAGCTGGCGTATCAGTATGGGAATCAATTTCAGACAGGAAAGGGATTAGATGCGACTTTATTTTATTACTATTATGAGTATTATATTAATCATGAGATGTCGAAGCAATGGATGCTAGTGACTCATCATGAAAACTCCTGGATCCATAACAATGCTTTTTATTTATTTTATATTTAAAGCTATACATTCATTTCATTTCAATTTTGTTTCTTGCAAATTTCATTGGCGTTTCGTTTTTAAAAATTGTTTCTCACAAATGAAACTGAGAAGCACAGGAACTGGATTGAGATAAGATGAGATACATTCGTTATAACGTGATTTTAATGAGGAACAGTATATAGCAAGCGACAAATGCACTTAGCAACGCTCTACATAGGTTGAATAAGTTGACCAATGAGAGAGAATGATGCGATTATAAATCAATTCAATTAATATAAATGCATTCTTGTGATTTGATTGCAATAATATAACATTTTGATAAAATAACACATTTTCTGTAGTAACGTGTAGTTTTTTGCTGCTAACTTAAGAGAGGCTTCCAAAGAAAGCGTTCTGGTATATGTCATCAAAACGTTTCACGAGCTATAGACGGTGCAAGAGGCAAAATGAGACTTGTACATGGTCACCATATCATTACCTCAGATACTGGAACTGTTTTTTTCCGAGGACCAACATAGAATTTTAGCTCTTTTGTAATATGAGTAGGAATCCACATTTCAGGGATCTGTTTCTCAAAAAAACTCAAGTTTTACTTAAATGAGCTTCTCAAAAATACTTAAGTATAATTTTCTCTTTTTTTAAGCTTTTTTGAGAAACAGGTCCACGGTCTTTTAGAGTAATGCTCATAATTTTTCGAAGTCGAGAATAATTGCGCTACGTCCTTTAACGTGAAGAATCTACTCTATGAATTTAGGTATCTAAGATCAAACTCGATTTAACATGTAGTAAAGCAGTCATTACCCTAGGAATAAATTTTGAACCTCCACTGATCTTAATAATCTATTACAAAATTCTCATCAATTAGATTCGTGCGATACAATAAGGCATTCGAACGCGTAAAAGAAGACAATTGCGCGCTGCTAATACATGTGAACGCTCAGTGTTTTCGTTACAAATTTTTCGAGGGGGGAGAAGTTCAGGAACTTACTCCCAGTTTTTGGAACAAAATTCTATTTATGACAAAATTGCTCGCCAAAAAAAAGTTATGAACAAAAATTTCTCTCGTTTAACGCTTTTTCTAACTTGTTTTTACTTTTGTTTAACTATCATCAACAAATATTTTAACATTTCGAGATCCTGCTCTTGTAGGATTAGCATAAAAATTAGAAACTTTTTTTAAAATACAACAATTTACAAATACTGCATCTCCTTTTTAATTGATAACTGGACCTTAAATATAGGTCTTTTCGATTCTTTTATGTCATAGCTATGATCTCATTATTAATATACTTTTAGCTTACTTTATCAGAACATTACTTAATCCGTTTTATGTACTCCGGGCCTTTGATTTACTTCAAGATTGCTAACTCCGAGTTCCAGTTAACCGGAGTAAGTGATTTTGGAGTAACTTACTCCGAAATCACTTACTCGGAGAACACTTACTCCGAGTTTCAAACGAGGGGGGGAATCCTCTCTCCTTCCCCCCTAATCGAAAACTCTGTGAACGCTAGAAGAACGAAAATTGCAGGTTGGCTTAGAATGCATTAGATCAGAATCTGACACTAAAAATATGTCCGAACACATTATTTTGTTTAAAAATTAAGGTTTTTAAAGATGTAGGATGTGTCGAAAGAAGATTTTCGAAGCCTGCGTATATTAGTTCATGTTAGAAAATCTGAAGGCGTTAAACTAAAGGCTATATTGGCTGTATTGTCTTGATTTTTGCAACCTTCACTTAAAAAAAGCGTATTTTAGAAAATCTGAATATTTCGAAAACCCTTTTAAAAACGTTTTCGTATTCGAACTGGGCTCGAAGTCCTTTTCTGTTTCAGGGGATACCCTTAGGGTTTTCGAAATTTTGAAAACCGCTGGGTGAAAACGAAAACTTTTGCATACCGAAACAGTATGATTGAATATCGCACAGGGTGTTTTCTAAAAACCCTTTTTGTTCAAAATTTCTTCTGAAACTGAAAGCATATCTGGAAATACTATTTTCAGTTTTAGAAAATACCTTTCAAGGAATTCGAATTATTTCTTCTAAAACCCTTCAGTTTCCGAAAGTTCAAATATTTTTTAGGATTTTAGAAAATACCGTCTTTGGATTGTGGTCAACCAGGGGCGTAGCGACTTCGGGGAATGATCCCCTCCTGCTTTTGACAGTAGGGTCTGATTTGTGAACATCCGCAATTTACATAATATATCTAGATATATATCTGGATGTTCAGATTTTCTGATATTCAAGTTAGATATTCAGATGTTATAGAAATGGGGAGAAGGGAAGGTGGGGGTGAGGGAAGATGAGAGTGAGGCGCTTCCTGATATTCGCCATCGTGAAAGAAAAGAGGAAGATATCTGCATATATGAACATCTAGATATTATGTAAATTGCAGATGTTCACAAATCAGACCGGTCTCGCTTTTGAAAATGTTTGCTTTTTCGGCAGCAAAATATGATAAATCTTCTTTTCCTGCGTAGTAGCAGTAATTTTATACGAATTTTTTCGAAGGGGGAAGGGTGACCCTTGAGCCCTCGCCCCGTCCTTGTGATCAACTTGTTTCAAAAATACATGTTTTTCTTTTTTGATTTGAACGCCGAGTGATAGTAATTTCTCTTTTTCATCAGAAAAATCGAGAGTCCATTGCATTAGAAAATAACTGGTTACCTAGAGTTTTTCTTCGGAAATCAATCTTGAGAAAGTTTTCGAAAGGGTAGTACAACCTTCAAAAACTCTTTTTAAGGAAAATGTTACTATATGATACCTTTTTGGGTACTTGAGAGTTCGAAAACCCTTTCAAAAGCTATCCTCGAAATTCCAAAAGAGTATCATATAGTAACATTTTCAAAAACCCTTTCCAAATTTTTGAGAATACGTTTTCTTCTACAGTGTGCTTTTTACGTATTGATAAATCATCGACTTTTCAGAAGCTGTTAAAAGAAATGGAGCCCTTATATCTCAAAAACTGTCTAGTGAAAGAGGATTAATCTCGTTAAGTGATCATCATCCAGTGAGAGGTACACAAAATTTAAAGTCACTACCCATCTATCGTTGTTTCTTGAGTGACAAATGTCTAATATTTTTATCCGGTACTATATTTTTTTCCTTTTTAGCTCTCCTCCAAAAATCTTCCCATATTTTAAATGTGTTTTACTTCAATGCTCTGATCATAAATGATGAGTTCAAACTACGATAAAAAAATTAGAATGAATGAATACGCATTAATTCTTATTAAATGATGATAACGACAAACAATTTTTTACATGCCTTCGAACTCACTCGACTCGAGCAAACGCGTTGAAAATTTTAATTCTACTAATGCCTTCTACTTGATGAATAAATTCGAATTAATCAAGAAATGAGAAGGCGTTCGGACGTCTTTAATCCACATAAATAACAAGAGAGAACGCGTTAAAAATATTAAATCGTGCAAAGCCTTAAAATGTGTCAAAAGAAAAATTTAAAGCCTTAAAAGCCGGAAAAAATTATTTTTAGCGCTGGAGCTGCGAGGGTCCAGAATTTCTCTTGTGACTTCTATCCTACTCTCTGTCCCACTATGTACTTTGCTTTTTCTGAAAAAGTATTTCAGAAATCTAAACAGATCACTCGTGGTAATCTGAAATAACAAAGATGTTACGCTCTACTGTGTTTGAGCCAGTACCACAAATAGAATTTTAGTTTTAACGCTGGGGCAAATCTCAACGGCTAAAAGGGTTGGAAGAATATTTTTTCACGGTGAAAAGTCATGGCAAAAATCCTGATGGAAAGTCGAAAAACTCAGGAAGAGATTGGCATGCCCGATCTCCCGATTGGAATCACTGCTGCATAGTCATTTTAAAAATCGGAATATATTGAATCGAATTTTAATTCTTAGAATAATGTTCCTTGTTAGATTCATAATTCAGAAGCCGAATTATTGGAATTATCAAAATCAATTAAAAATGAGCACATCTCAAAAGAAGGCAATGAATCGTGTCTTTGTAGTTGGTGTCGGTATGACAAAGGTTGGTGAAACACAAATTTAGTTTTAGCTTTGTAAGACAGACCAATTTCTCTGATCTTACGCTCTTTGCGATTGATGATTATTCAAACAGATTTGATTTAAATTAGAGAATATCCGTCGTTTTTTTCTTTTCCAGTTTGAAAAGCCTGGCAGACGAGAGAATTTCGATTATCCAGATATGGCTAAAGAGTCAGGTATGCACACAATATTCAGTCTTACAATAACAGGACTCTTTGTATTACTATTTGTATTTTACAAGTTACAAAAGCGTTGAAAGATGCGAATATATCTTACAACGAAATTGAGCAAGCAGTAGTTGGATACGTTTATGGTGAGAAAAACTATTTCCATAGAACACGACCATTCAATGCTTTTATCGTCGTATTTAGGTGATAGTACTTGTGGACAACGTGCACTTTATCCTATTGGACTTACTGGAATACCGATTTTTAATGTGAATAACAATTGCTCAACAGGTTCATCAGCGTTGTTGTTGACTGCACGTCATATTCAAGGCGGTACGAATATAAAGATGCTTAATTATTTTAGCTAGCTGATTGTTCTCATTATATTGTATTTCTAATTAGGTTTAGTCGACTGTGCTTTAGCTCTTGGTTTCGAGAAAATGCAGCGTGGCTCATTATCATCACAAGTATGTGTCTATCAGTCAATGATAAACAAACATTACATTTCCTACCTTTTAATTTAATTTAGTTTTCCGACAGAACAAATCCGATGGATAAACATATTGAAGTAATGTCAGAACGATATGAATTTAACACAGCTCCTCCTGCCTCGCAGTTATTTGGTAATGCCGGACGAGACTACATGCAAAAATACGGTAAGCGTTTACACACGCTGACATAGAGAACTATATTGTGCGATCCTAAGCTGAGTCAGTTTCCACTAAAATTTAAGAGAACAACAGTATAGCCGCGATGCATTATAATTCCCAGATACAATTGTGTAATAGACTGACAGTCCGAACAGTTAGTACAAATCGGTTATAGTGACCATATTTTATCTCTCTAGGGATATCATCAGACATTTTGGCAAAAATAGCAGAAAAAAACCATAGACATAGCAAAAACAATCCGTATGTATTCTTTCCTTTCTTGAAAAGCAAGTTAATTTTTACATTTTTAACAGAAACAATTAGTTGTTTTTAGTTATTCACAATTTCGTGACGAATATTCATTAGATCAAATTAAAAATTCGCCAATGGTATACGAACCACTAACAAAATTACAGTGCTGGTAAAAAAATGACCTTCTTTGAACTCAAAAATGAGAAAAAAATCTTACTGTCTAGTCCAACGTCCGATGGTAGTGCAGCGGCTATTTTAGTTAGTGAAAAATTCATTAGAAACCATTCACATCTTCGTCAAAAAGCTGTCGAGATATTAGCCATTGAAATGTCAACAGATACGTCTTCAACATTTGATTCAAATGATTGTATGCGTTTGGTATGTTGAATTAGACTTGATGGAAGGATAAATTTTCTAATTAATGATTTTTCTCTCAGGTGGGCTATGACATGAGTAAAGCAGCTGCGAAACACGCGTTTTCGAATGCTGGTAGGTTGACTTTTCTCTATATCATAAATTAATAAATTAATGTTTTGTTTATTTCAGGTTTGAAACCAGAAGATGTTCAAGTCGTCGAATTGCATGGTATAGCTCGTCCTCATGAAATAATTTTAATAAATTCATGTAGCATGATGTTCTGGCTTTTTAGACTGTTTTTCAGCAAATGAACTTATTACATATGAAGCACTTGGTTTGTGCAGTGAAGGTGAGTGGACGACAAACGTTACAGTTTTCCGCTGATACATTACCCATGGTGTATTTTCAAAATAAAAAATCTTGAAATATGTGCAAAAAATTGATTTAAATGTACTTTAACGAACCACACCTTTAAAAGAGATATTCAGACAATTTTCTTGAAAGCATTTTAATATTTTTCTTAGGGAAAGCTGGTGAGATGGTAGAAAAAGGCGACAACACGTATGGGGGAAAATATGTTGTCAATCCAAGTGGAGGTCTAATATCAAAGGGACATCCATTGGGAGCCACTGGTAAGGGTGCAGATAAAGTAAAAATGTGTTTATTTACAGTTTAATGCTATTTTTGAAGGATTGGCACAATGTTGTGAACTGTGTTGGCAATTACGAAATGAAGCAGATGAAAGACAGGTGAAAAATGCAAAAATTGGTCTTCAACACAATATTGGACTTGGGGGTGCAGCTGTTGTGGCCGTGTATAAACGTGCTTTTGAAAATGATAACAAGTAAGTACTATGAAGTATTGCCTTTCAAGAAAATAGCTTATCATGTCATGGCATTTGTTTTTAGACCTCATGTTAGCTCAAAGCTCTAATTAAAACTGACAAAACTTTCTCTTTTTAAATTAAACATAACCATTGTGCAATAATACGTGTCATCAACTTTTTAAGTGTCTAACAATGATTTTTATCGACGATGTTTTCCATTAAATTATTATATGATACATATTTGTGATTTTACGCCATTACTCTCTGTTTTTTTTTGATTTTTTTTTATACAAATGTATTTTTCTAATAAAATTACATTCTCTTTTACTCCATCACGATATCAAATGCCTAACTATAACGAAAAAATTAGTCATTTTACCCTAATAGACATTCATCAGCAATCAATCGTTTTTAAATGAATAATTTTTCTTTACACGTGTCCATTCACTTCTATAGAAAATATAGATTCAATTAGTAGTTTTTCTATGTATTTTTTATTGTTTTTTCTGTTTTTGAAATTGGTTGGTTTATACTAAAAATGTTACGTACTAACTGGGCTACTACGTAAGGTTCTTTTTGGAAGAAAATAGAAGAACAACGAAAACAATGAGAAAAAATAAAATTTGTGTACACAAAATAACAAAATGTAATCGTTTGTTAAAAGTAAAAAACAAAGGAGTCTTCATAAAATATAATTAGTAAAAATGGAGAAAAGAAAATCGTATGATTCACAACACATGGAATGTGTTTTATATATCAATGTTACTCACGATTGCGGAATGATTAATTTAACACTCAAAACTCAACAAAAACATAAAAATATAATAAAACAGATTTAATTTGTAAAAATTAGCAAGACAGATAATTCTAGAACAGCAGAAAAAGAAATCGCTTATAGAACCTGAGTGATAAAGAAAAATATCGTTTTTGCTTCCTTTGTAATGATAATAACAATGGTATGTACACAACAATCATTGACAATCATTTTTATTTAAAAAAACCGAAACTTTCGATTACGATCTGTAATCATCATCAGCTATAGTTTATAATAAAAAACACATAGTCAGTATGTGAACTATATATGTTGAGAAAGAACATTCAGTTGTTGTTTCTCATTCTAATTATTTTGCTTTTCGCTTTTCACTATTCACTCACTTTTCGTTCTCTTTCTTTTTGTTCTTATAAACAAATAGACTATATTCAATCACATGCAATAAAGAAATTCTGATATTCTTTTGTTTCTCCCCCTTGCAGTGTTTAACATTTGTTTATAAGAACAAAAAGAAAGAGAACGGAAAAGTGAGTGAATAGTGAAAAGCGAAAAGCAAAATAATTAGAATGAGAAAGAACAACTGAATATAGATATGGTTGTGTGTGTTTTTATTGTAAACTATAGCTAATGATGATTACAGATCGTAATCGAAAGTTTTGATTTTTTTAAATAAAAAGGTATCGTCCCGATTCGTCGACAAATCGGACACTTCAAAGAATATACATCAAAGAATTTCAAAGGCGGGAGGGGCGGTGTGAGAGTGAGTGTCGACGAATCGGGACTGAATCAATAAAAATGATTGTTGTGTTCATACGATTGTTATTATCTTTGGTGAATTATTATATATTACAACAAACAATATTGGTATTCGTTTGTAATACAAAATGAATCTATAAAAATAATTGATGACAGCAAAAAAGAAGAAGCAAGCACTATGATAACAGAGATTATATAAATACGAATGTAAACTTTGAGAATAGTTAGATTGATATTGCATGAATATACGATGGACGGCTACCGTCTTGAGCCAAATACAAATCCCAATACAGTTATAAGTGTTAGAACAATTACGATAACAATAAAAATGACAAATATGAGTCTCTATAAAATAAAATAAAATATCTACGGTTAATTGATTTTACTTATATCTCTAAAATTCAAGGATTGCATCAAAATTTAATATAATTTACCCTTCTTCTCTTTTTGACCTCACTATTTAATACAACAACATTGTCTTTTCCTATTTCAACCCAATCGGTGGCTTTACGAATATTATATTCAATACTATCGATCATTTCACCCTATTAAAATGACAAAATAAAATCTCAAAGTGTAAACTTTTTTTATACTATCTACCTGAGTATTAACAATTAAAGCCATATCACGAAACATTTCGGTTAATTCTTTAATACTATTTTCTAATTTAAGAAGTTCGCGATGACGTGCCTCGATATCTGCAAGATTTTGTTTGGCTTCTTGTGTTTCAACCATAATCTATAATCAATTAATAGAGATATTGAAACGAACATTGAAAAAGAAAAAAAATAGCGTAATTTTTACGCCTGAAAACATGGCCAAATTTTCATTTTCCAGCATTTTTTCGAGTTCAATTTCGCTCTTTTGTCGACCAGCTTAAAAGATAGATACAAACTGTATGAAATACTTTTATCCTTCTCTTTTATTCGCTAGATTTATGAACTGGAACTATTAGTTCTACTTACCCATTTGCAGTTGACGAATCAATCGACTTTTACATCGATCACGATAATGTACTTGAATTGAGTTATATTCTTTTATTGCATTACAAAATTGTTGTTGTGTGACAAATAACTAAACAGACATTACGAAAGATTCTATAAATATGCATAAAACATTTTCAATATTAGCGAATTATTTGTACTTGTGTCTCTTCGATTCTTGACTGAGCATTTGACTTTGAAGTGGGAGCCTGAGATTTTTGAATTCGTTCCATTTCTGGATTTAAAAGATAAACTATAGAGGATACATTAATACTTTGGGATGGAAATCATACTTTTCAGTCTAATTCGTACTTCTTCTGAAACTTTTTTGATTTCAGCCATTTTTTCGTCTAATTCGTGTTTCGTTTCTGAAAATGTGAAAAACAAAAGCAAATCTTATCGGTTTTTATCAAGAATAACTTACGAACATCGACGTACTTTCATCTTCTTGGTCGATTACTATTTTATTTTGTAGTTTTTTCACTTCTTCGATATTCTTATTAATTATATCAATATTTGTTCGTATAGAATCAATCTGAGAACGAAAGATTAACAGATGCACTACAGTTATCATCAATCATTCAAACATTAGTTTTTCGTAACAAAAGCAAAATGCTGCGACGACTCTCCACTCTCGAATATTTACTTTTTAGGATTATAAAAGGAGGTACAGGTCGAAACAAACTCTGCAAATTCACTTTGCAAAATTCAGCAAAGCTCCTGACTGCCTTTAAAGTACGTACATTACATAGATATTTATATGCTTATTGCTTTAAAAGCGTAAAGTGTAAACTAACCTGAGCAAAAAATTCGCATATAACGCGACTAGAGTCTTCCATATTAAGAAGAACTTGATTTGTGGCTTCTGTATCACCCTCATCAGCACTTTGTGTCTAAATAAAGAACAGATAGAAATATAGATCATTAGACATCGATCAAATGAGGGGTTATTCTATAAAAAAAATTCCAGTGCGGCACTGTCAGTGCGCATGCCATGCCATCGGTCACTGGCTGGCACCGGTGCGCACTCATGCCCAGCAAGTGCCGAACCAGTGTCGATTGCCACCCGTGCGCACCAGTGCCGATATATTTCTGCCCAAAAAGTGCCGCAGGGGTGACGCACTGAAAGTTATTTAATCAGTTTAATTAGCTTTTTATTATAGTTATTTATGCTGAATTTTGTATTAGAATGCAGCACTGATCAGTACCACATTGACATGCCAAAACCATGCGGCATTGCCTCGGCACTTCTCTTATGAGAAGGAAAAGATGAAGTCAGAAAGACATTCGAAATATTAAAAGTATACTGTGGTGTTAATATAGACAGAAATCGACAAAACAAAATAGTGATTGAAAGCAAAACTTGAGCACTGGTGCGAGATTTTTACATTCTTTTTGGCACCGATGCCTATCGGTGCCCAGAAAAAAAATTATTCGGCACCAGTGCGCACCCGTGCACAAGCAGCGCCGATAAAATATTTTTTTGTAGGGTAATATGAGTGGATGCGAATGATTTTGAAGAAATCATGACAAAAGAATAATTCAGTGCAAATAAAAAAAGCGTGAGAAAAATCTAATAATTCGAAAATCATTTATATAGAAAGTTACAAGATGAATCAACACGATTTATGACAGTTTATTAGAATGCAAAAAGTAAAAAGGGCTTTATTACTTCAGATGTAAGTTTTCTATAAACGATATGTTCTCGGATGGTGCCATCTTGTTTCTAAAATTACATGATTAAAGATGAAAAACAATATACAATACAACAGAATGTATTTAAATCACCGGTAAGTGACCTAATAGCAGTAAGAGACAAATAGAAATTATTATGTGTTATGCTTGACTAGCATAAGGTAGACAACAAATTTGTCTCTAAAAAGATGATACTCATGGTTGGATAATAGAATAACAAAACTTACTGTTGCTTTCAAGGTCGGCAAAAGATCTTTTGGCATCGAATAAAACTTTTGTTCTCACACACACTTTTCTCAGTTTCAACTTATTAAGATGCTAATATCAACTCATAGATGCTGAAATAATGAGCTTTATTTCTCACAAAAATCACACTTCATTTTTTTATGACTATCGAAAAACGTTTCTGTTCGTTACTTTATTATTCGCTTATAAATACAATTTCATGTTTATTCATGCGCGTAATGAATCATGTCACATTCATTTAGAAATTTCGTTTTCCTCCTCTCAATATGCGTGAAATTCAATATAGATGTCTCTGCAACTTGAAAAAACTACAGTGTGCACTTAAAAAGATTTTTTCACTCATAAACTGGTTTCTTTCGATGAAAAATGTACCTTACTATACATTTAATATTAAAAAAAATATGTTCCTTGAAGTCAAAATTTGAAAGTCTTGCGCAAAAACAATGAGTTATTTTGGATAAAACGTTATACTGATATCTTGATAGTACCATCTGTTCTGTCACATGATCATACTAAGTCGAAATGATGATGTATTACTATAAGTCAGATTAAATGAATTTAAGGCTTTGACAAATGGCATTTCCATGTCGCTGTCGAAATATTTATCGTCGATTGATAACATGTTGCTTGTTTTCAATCATTATAATTTATTTTTTGATGTGTTTGCATCTATTGACCGTATACGATTTATCAAGTTCAACATTCACCGAGTTCGATAAATGTCCCATGTGTTTTGGAATTAATTTATGTGAAGATTTTAAGAAACCACATACATATTTGACTGGTAAGAAGTATCCGTCTATAACGATAACACATCTAGATGGAAGGATCATTAACCTTAACTCAGTAAGATTTCTGAAAAATGTTGCTATTTTTTGAACTAAAGAACTTGAGTAAGGAACTTTTATAGCATAGTTGCATCTTTTTCTGAAATCAGGAGAAGATTGGATCAAAATCTTTTGATAATATTTTTACACTATGGAGAAAGCGTACTAAACATGCGTGACGTTCTAAGTCCAATATTCATGAGATATTTTCACGCATAATTAGTATTGAAGTTACAAAAGGATATTTAGCTCACGAAATTCATTTCGTGCACATTATTCACTTAACCGGAAGTGAACATTTTAGAACAGTTAATGTTTCACATATAATTAAGCATTGAGACAGAAAACATATCACGGGATAGACAAATTTTAAAAGCTTGTTTGGTCAAAATCGATTGCAGACTCATCTTCTACATAGTCGATTATCTTGTACACGATAACTTCTTGATCGTGATACTTTAGAAAAATATTTCTCATGATCTTGTTCAAAAATTTTTCAAAAAATTACTGTATGCAATCAAAGGCAAAACGATGTCGAAAATTATTTCTAAAGTAATACAATCCAAAAGTTATCGCGTACAATATAATCGACCATGGAAAAGTTGAAATTGCAGTCGGTTTTGACTGAACAAGCTTTTAAAATTTTTCGATCCGGTGATATGCAGATGATGTTTATTTTCAATTTAGGGAACATTTTTATTAACAAAAGTTCTCTTCCACACTATTAGCAAATACTATACTTAGCGATTTCATAGAAAAGTATTGGGACAAGGCACGCTTTCCAATTGTCTATTTTGGACGATATGTTGATGATGGACTCCTCATTTCAGAGTTAGCTGAAGATCAAATAAAAGAATGAGTTCAAGTTTTAAATAGTAAAATGACAAATTTAAAGTTTACATTCAAATTCGAGAAAAATAAACGAAGACCATTTTCAGATGTTTGAAGAGACGATTCGTCAGTCCATCAAGAAATTGAGTCACGAGTAAAAAACTGACATATACTTTTTATCTCAAATTCGGATTCTGCTATCAAAACTGGGGTTACGAAAACATTTTTTTTCTTCTGACTTATTTTGGCTGAGTTATATAATTTACAAAATGAGTATCATCGTCGATTTGCGAAAAGTACTCTCCTCTGATATTTTGACTATAACTCCTTTAACTTTAAACTGACTGTTTAAAACGCACATCAATTGAAGGATTGTGATTTTGAAGGGTCAAATATTTTGAGTAAATGCCATTTTTGGTTCTTCAGATAGAATTTCTCAAAAAATTTGAAGCTGATATCAGATACAGAATCCGTCCATAACTGTCTATCAGGTGAAGAGATGATCTACTGTTCTCATCTAGGCCACACTTCATCCATGATGTCTAATTCAGTATTAAATCGCATTGCAAATATAAATGTTATGAGAAGAGTACATATTGTCGGGGTGGAAGCTATTGCTGACTCATTCTTATTGTAAATATTGATCTGATTGTTGAAGAAAACTTGGTACGTTATATTTGTGTTTATAAGTGACTGAGAATATCCGATAACTTCTTGTGTTTACTTGGGACTGTTCTCTTTAACATTGGAAAGAACCAGAGAAGATGATTAATCAATATTTATCTTTTAGTAAAAAACTTTGTTAGGTTTATTCCCCAGAGGAAATGAAGGAGATATATAAAAGAGAATACGAGCCCATTATAGCCATTTAAAGTGAACAGACATTGAACTATTATTAAATTTATTGAACCATTATTGTCAATAACCAATCTGACATCTCAAATGAGTGCACCAGGAAGTTTTGATTTGGGAAATGGTTTTACAATGCAGCCACATTTTGCTGCACAAGGTGGTGGAAATCCTGGTGATATCCAGATGCAGTCTCAACTAGGATTGGGTATTAAAAAACAGCTGACACCATCAACAAGTGTCTATGGGAATGTGTATTCAAATCAGACACACGATTTAAGTAACAATAAACATCAAGTGGCAGACGGTGGTTTCAATGTTGGTATTAGAAAACAGTTTTAACTTGTTTGATTTAATTATAGTTATTTAAAAATAAATCAAGATGAGCACCGGTCTATGTGAAACTGTAGACATAAACTCGCTGTTTTACTGCCTCATTTTAGCGTTTTTCTTCTTATCTGGAACTGTTGATAGTAATCAAAAAGCTCATTGTACTGAGAGGGAGCTGAAAATTGTTTCTCAAATTTAATTGAGTTTACAATACCGCAGAAAAAACGACATATTAAAGGAAGTTTTCAAAGTTCCACTCTTTCTTTTACATTTGGCATCGTTCCTAAAATAAAATTAACGGTTAAACGATAAAATCTATGGCCGTATGTAGGTAAAGTTTTGTGTCGTTCCCTACACAGCAAGAATCCAAGAGCCTAGATGAAAAAAAATCTACATTAAAACGTTCTTATACCTAAAATATTCGTACGAATATTAAACTAATATTTGATCCTGATGTATAATGCGGAGTAAATTATATAAGCTAATGAACGAATTGGATTAAATAGAAAATTTGATTAGCCTAGAATATTTTCTAGTTTTAATTTCTAGGCATTTTCTCGTTATGAATAACAATTCCTCACTTCATCTAATGGTTTTTCGAAAAAAGTGAAAAGGAGAGTGTCAGAACGCATAATACTAGTAACACAGAATTACTCCAAAATTTATGAATACGTTGAGTTTAGCTGCATGATTTATATTCTCTTTTTCTTTTCTTTTATTCACAAACCTGTTGTAATTACACCGTTACCTTTTTCTTTTGACTTATGTATATACTACGTGGATACATTTCGTTATCATCATAATAATATATTTATTTTATACGTTTGCCTATCATTTATTGAAGCTGTTTTTCACGTCCGCTCTCTACGAATTTTCGGTCACAAGAATATTAGTGAATCCTACTTTTCCCGTTCAGAATTTTGCTACTATACGAGAATTTTTCTAAACAGCAACCGTTGTTATCATTAAAATTTAGAACACTACAAGAATTTCAATCATTAAAATATGAGCTCTAGTCTCTATTCACGGGAATTTTACCCTAAAACAGTAGAAATTCTAGTCAAAATACTAAAAGATACAGGTAAAATTTCGGTACCTTGAAAAGAAACCCAAACCTCTACCGCTAATGAAGTTGTGCATACTTCAAACTATATTCTAAGTTAGGAATGCACTTTTTATGATAATGGTGTGGTAAAAACGGCAAAGAACAAGTTACCCTCTTCTTTTCATTAAAATTT